TTCAGAATTCTGACTTTAATTTCAGAATTCTGACTTTTTTTATTGTCAGAATTCTGTTCAGTTTAATTCACGTTAAACTGAAATAAAATTTAAAAATCAGTTAACTTTTTTTTTATTCAGTGGCTCTAATCCTCTTCCGTATACATTTTTTATCAAATTCTTATTTTAAGAATAAAACAGTCATTCCATCGGCAAACTATCTCATTTTCCTACTCAAATTAAGAGTAAATACATTTAATCTCAGAAATTTTAACCAATTTCTAGATCTTTTTTGCAGTGTATGAACTTTATCTGTATCCATCTGATGATTTAGGTTCCCCAGCATACTTCCTCCCTTTAAATCTCCCATCATTCCTTCCCTTTATGTTTCTTGTCCATCCCTCCTTTCTGTGTTTTTTATATATTTCCTCTCATCTTTATTTTCCTCTTTAGTAAAATCCTCGTTCCTGCTCTCCCGTCTCCTTGGACACTTCCCACTTGTTGCATTGCATCTCTTCCCCATGCAACCAGCCATTTCCTGTCTTTAATATTCATTATCTGTGAAACAAGGTTCTTCACTGGAAAAACGATCTAGAAATAGGTCAAAATCTTTTAAATTAAGTGAATTTACCCTTAATTTGAGTAGGTAAATTAGATAGTTTTCAAATGGAATGAGGATTTTTACTCTTAAAATGAGATTTTTAGGTGAAATGAACTTGAAATAAGGCAATTCAATTGTGTTTTCTTATTTTAAATGTAAATTGTCTTGTTAAGTCGGCAAAATGTCTCTTTTTTCTCCTCAATTCAAGACCAAATGCACAAATTTTAAGAAAAAAAGACCTATCTCGATTATTTTCTGTTGTTATAAGTAAAACTGAGAAAATTTGACTCATTATCTAAAAAGTGTTGCGTCCATAGATCTGATTAATATTCATCTTCACCATGAACCAAATGAGCTGTTCTCAGGAACAAACAGCTCCAAGGCAGCCGTTGTTTATCTGCAGCCTGCTGACCATCATCAGGACTATTTATACTCCGCCTGCTGCTGATTATAGAGTCAGAGTCTGAGCTCATGCTTTCTAACCGCGGCAGAGCTGATAGCAGCCGTCATTCCTGCGGGTGGAGGGTTAAGTCAGGTAACTAGGTACATTCTTAATCCTACCG